AGTTCTGTTAACAAAAATTTGTTGCATCGTCTTTCCACCAAATAACAGAAAAGTATCGATAAAGACTCGGATCGATAAGGAGTATCGATAAAGGTATCGATATCAATAAATATTAACGATCCCCATCCCTAATGTGCAGACCGACGCTCTGATGCGATCTACCTGCTCACACTGTTCGTCTAAATCCACGTTGGACTCAGCTCGCAGTGAGATGGTGCTACTCTGACTTGTCTATCCGGAAGCCGAATGAGTAGAAGAGGAATATGAAGCTCACTAAGGTGATCGTCATTATGATCGCCTTGCCACATCTGTTTACATGTGAACAGTTTAAATTTCAGAGCTGCTTTTGATGAATCCTCAGAAGGCCTTCAGCTTAGTTGTTATGTTAATTAACTGATGTCTGCGACTCAGAATGAAATGTCTAGATTGGAATGATGTGTTTCTATATAAATACACTTTTAGTCCCATTTTTTCATTTTAAGTTGGCAAAAAATAGGAAGTGCAGAAAATGTAACAATGGTGTAAGGGCAACAAAGAAATCGGGAAATATTTAAGTAATTAAAAATGGATAAACCCTTCAGCTCAGACATTCAGGGTAGATCAGGATGATTACTGGTTTGGCCCTGCTTCCTGTCATTGGCATGAAACACATCTCTGTGTTTACCTGGCTCTGTGTGTGGATTGAACTCAGTCACACAGCTTAACTATTCTGCGATGGTCTTCAGATGGCCAATTGTGTTCCCAGCTGATGCATTTAAACTAAAATCCACCCCATCTACACACGTCCACTCAGTTTGGATTGGTAGTCCTTAATGTTTTAGCCATAAATGCGATGAAAAACCTGTAATGGAAGCTATTTTAGTCTGATTTCATGTTTATAATCGCATTACGGACTCTGCTGTTCTGTTGTGGTTGGCTCGATATCTGTGTCTAGATCACAGCTGCACCTCCACAGGAGTAAGAGCCGCTCAGTGCCAGGGGATGTAAATCTATATAAGCAGCCAGGAAATGAGAAAAGCATCCAGAAAGTTCAGCTCCTGCAGGAAAAATTGAAATAGACCTCAATTGATCCCAGGAAAATGTTCAGGCTGTAGGGATCTGGTTCGCAGGTGTTCTCTGGACTTACTGACTGTGAATCTAAACAGGTTCTGACCACAGCAGTCATGACGGATCTGCCGGTCATCTCCAACATCCTGTCCAGACTGTTCGAAAGCTCCCAGTAAGAGTTTGTCTTTTTTTAGAGAAAGTTTAAGTATAATCCAACCTAACTTGATTTTATGGTGCATTTATTTCATTATTTTTTGTGTTTAGCTTCAACTGATTTAGTTACAGTTTAAGTTTTGACTCTCAAAACATATTTAGGATTAAAAGTTATGAGACGCCCCTTTCATTAAAGTTAACTGCAGTTTTTATTTTTTATTGGGGCGTCGTTTTGTTGCATTAAGAACTGTGGCTAATGTTATGAAGCATAAATGTTTTTAACATGTTATTTTAGGTACCTGGATGACGTGTCTTTGCACCACTTGATCAATGCCCTCTGCTCCCTCTCTCTGGAGGCCATGGAAATGGCTTATGGAAATAATAAGGTGAAAAAAAATATTTTATTTTTTACTGCTTGTTCTTGTTTTGCCTTCATGTTGCTTAAATGAATCTAATTGTTCCTTTTTGCCAATTTGATTTCTCTATCTGGTTGTGGTTTAGGAACCGTCTCTGTTCGCTGTTGCTAAGTTGCTGGAAACCGGCCTTGTCAACATGGACCGCATTGAGATCCTGTGGAGACCCCTGACTGGACACCTGTTAGAGGTAACCTTTACCAGACGATGGAGCTCACTGGCTGCTGAGACTCCGAATTAGACATGTTTCCAGATGAACAGATTCATCATTGAATTTATTTCTGGTTAATTGGATTAGTTCAGCAGAAATGTAAATGTGTATAATTACCCTCAGTGATGTTTTCATATTTAGAAGACTTGTGGCAGCAGCAGTGAGATTAATAAAGTAAAATTATTATTAAAGTTCCTATATTTATATTAATATATTAACTCTATAAAGGTTTAGACGTATCCTAAAGTCTCTGATTGCATGAATAAGTCTCTCACTATGAGAAACAACTGTTAAAGATCCAGCTACTAGCTACATACGACTCCTGAAGAGAGAC